CTTTCAAGGTGCCTTGATTCGATTCAGCTGTAGTAGAAGAGGCATTGTCACTCTCCTTTGCAGTTGTTGCAAGGCTACTGGCAATGGGCTCTCTCACGGGTAGGTAGTTAGGTACTCGAACTCAACCCAACCCCACCCACCACCACCACACCACGCCAACCGCACCACCACTCACATGCCGATATGCTGTGTGCAGCAGCAACGCGTACTCCTGCTCCTGCTCCTGCTCCTGCTGCTGCTGCTGCATGCCCCCTCCCCTCGCACGCCCACCACCCTTGCCCTTCTCGCCGGCCCCCCTCTTCCCTGCTGCTCCTCCCCCTGCTCCCTTCCCTGTTTGCTTCTCCTGCTGCTGCACATTTCTATGACTAGCATCGCCAGCACCAGCAGCAGCAGCATTAGTGGAGGGAGCAGGGGTAGCAGAAGCAACTGGTGGGAGGGGACTAAAGCTTAGCACCCCACATACATCCACAACCCCCCCTTGCCTCCCACTCGCCACCCCTGCACTCATTCCTCCCCTCCTCTCCCTCCCCTCCCTCCCCTCCCTCCCCTCCCTCGCCTCCCTCCCCACTCCCGCACCCCCACTTGCTGCTGCTTCCCTCCCAGCACTGCCCCCTCCTTCCCCACCCTGCCCCTTTGCGTCCCCCTCTCCCCCTCCCCCTTCCTCCTCGCCTGGCCTTACGTGCAGCCGATGCAGCTTGGTGCCTGCATGAAGGGCGGAGTGGGGGAGGCAAGGGAGGGGTGGGTAGGAAGATGGGACCGATGGGGGGGAATTGGTGGAATGGGGGAGAAGGGACAGGAGCAGGGGGGAACAGGGGAGAAAGGCCGAAACAGGGCGAGGCGAGGGGGAGCGGAGGAATGTGGGAGGGGGTGGGAGGGGGAGCAAAGGGGAAAGAGGGGGGTTTATTGGTAGTGTGGTAATAAGCTGATTGGGGTAATGCAAGGGGAAAATGGCGGAATAGGGTCAATCAACCTGAGAGAGTTCGAGGTAGGTACGTGGGAATGGGAAGGAACCAACGCAAACAGCAGGCGATAGGATCCTTGGGGTTCGGGGCGGGGACAACGGGGACAACAAGGCAAGAGGGAGAGGGTACGAGCAGAGCAGTCAGTCACCCTTTCGTGCGAACGGCGCAAGGCACGTGGCGGTGGCAGCAGCAGGTGCAGCAGGTGCAGCAGGCGTGTGGGGGCAGTTGTGATTGTGAGAATCAGAACAGCTGCGACCAGGACTGGCTGACAGCGGCGCTGCTTGCCATGACTGTGGTGGCACCGTTGCAATCAGATGCTGCTCCCACGCCGATACGCATGGGCTCCTGATGGTGACGTGGAATGAATGATGCCGTGGCATGATGACGTGGCGTGATGACGTGGCGTGATGACGTGGCGCGACAACACACATTATGTTGACGTAAGGAGGAGTTAAATGCGAGGAGAATCAGGGTGTCACATGAGGTGAGGCTGGCTGGGTATGGGGGTTCACATTGGGGGTTCACATTGTAAATTAAAGCCATGACACCATATTACACCACATCTCACCTCGTGGGTATGGAGCATTTATCACGCACTTTCCAGCGAAATTTTCCACACATCTCCATACACACCCCTTCTCCGGCCCCTTCCACCCCTCCAAGCCTTATTCACTTCTCCCCTTCCCCCTTTCTCCCCTTCCTCCCCTCTCCCCTTCTCCCCTTCCTCGTCTTCCTCCCCCTCCTCCACACCCCTACCTCTTTCCCCGAAGAATTCGGAACCCCCATATCCCTCCCCCCCCCCCCCCTCTTACCACGTCAGTTCTTGTAGCGAGGCAACGAGCCCCCTTATAGCGAATTTCCTTTGCTCGTCGCTACACCCCCGTTCTGAACTCGGAACTACAAACCCCGCCGCTTCTTCCGCGCTTCCCCCAGTCCGCGCGCCAGGCGCGCCGGAAGGGGCGCGCGGGGCCGGTGGACCGAGGGGGGCTGGGGGAAGCGCCGCGGGGGGCGGGGCGGAGAAATAACGGCCGTTGAAGAGCGAGCAGAGGGTGAGGTTGAGCGAGAGACACACGAACGACGCGCGGACGGCGCGCGGGGGAGCCATGACGGCGCGGGGAAGTGCGCCCGGGAAAGCGAGCGCGCGGCGCAAGATGCGCCCGCCCGCGTCGGGCAATGCCGCGCCGCGATGCCTCGTAGAGCGCGCCGCGGGTAGGGGATTGCGTTAGCCGTAGCGCAACGAAGTGCGAACGATCAGCATCATCAAGCACCAACAACTAGTTATTGGCTGTTACTAGGACTTAGGTGCTGCAATGGCCAGAGCAATTTCTATGTATGTATGCACAAGCTGCTCATATCAGATCACCCCCCACGCGGTTTGGTCTTGGCGGCCTGCAACGGGGTGTTGTGGGAAACTTGCAGAGAGTGTAACAGTGTAGTGGAAATGCTTTCGCAAGATCGGCGACCATGTTCGCGCGCGATCGCATTCTCCAGTCCGCCAGGGGCTGGTAAGGTAACATACTTCGCACGCTTTTCGCTTCATCAATGAACATCAATGGTATATTTTGCATGCAAAAAGTCAGTGTTCTATGCAAAATAATGACGTCAAGAAGTGGGACTTCAAAAATTTATCGAAACATATCATAATCCGCCTAACGAGCATATCTCCCCTTGACGATGTGCGATACGGCAACTCAAATTCAATAACCAACCAACCCGCCAAATTTGGAGGCGGCGCGTCCCGAAACGGCCACATGTGACCAACCACACTCACGTTCAAACCATCCCATCACATCCGAGCATCAATCATCACAGTTTTTACTGACAGGTTTCCTCCTCTCATTCGCTACTGTATCAATCACATAGGCCCTGTTCGGTAGCCCTCCCAGTCATACCGCGGTTGGTGCGTGAGATCTTCAATTTCCTAAATTCAAATCGATTAAAGCCTAACAAACCGTTATTAGAACACCGAGCCTGTCCAGTGCAACTGGGCTACCGAACGCATAAAAACCCCACTTCAACTGCGTGCTAGGACACTACCACGAAACTGTCGCGCCCAGGCAAACTCGACAGTCAGTGGAAGTCCCTCCCATTTCAGCTTTCCAGTTCAATCCAGGCAGGCCCGCTCAGAGTGGCAGGCTGGAGGGTATACGCTGCACTAGTTTCGAATCGGGTCAAATAAAGGTTTGTTAGCACGCTCTTTCAAACGATGAGAGATCTTGCCCGTTCCTGATTATCCACATCCATATCGACGGTTTTTCATTTGGCGGTCTGATTTTTTGTTTGTGGGTGGGGCAGCCTCGTACAGCAGTAAGAGTTCCGGCAAGTAATTTCCCAAGAAACGCACAGAAACTTCTTGCTTTTGGGAACGAGACTTCCTTTCAGTGTGAGTGGACGCCCGAGGCTACGAAACATGTCGTAGGCTTCCCCAGTTCGAGTGGGCCCAGTGTGACTGGAAGGCTACCGAACAGGGCCGTAGAAGTGGCACCAGCAGCACCAGTGGCAGCCGACCTGCCGTCTCTCGCAACCGCAACACATGCTCCACACACAACGGAACGGAACCCCCGTCTTTCCATTCCAGCTGCGACCACCGTGTTCTAAATATGTACCTGCCTCTCCGCCTGCCTTGAATCTACAATGGGCTTTGCCTTGAGCTGGTGTAGCGTATTACCTCGTTACCGATATCATCGCTACTATCGAACGCCAGGCGTTCAGATTCTCCTTCTCGCCGGCTGCTGTCTCTCTTCCACCAGTTCAGTCTCTGATACACGTGTCGTGCTCTGAAAGCCGCCACGTGTCACAGTCATCCAGCAGCGCGCGCCACTCGCCGGCTGCATCCTCATCTGCATCGCCACCCCTCCAACTCGCCTCTCCGCCGTGCGACCTCCAGAATCGGGATCCGTCGCACGACTCGTGCGAACCGCTTGCGACTTCACCAGCTCGCGCCACTCCCAACAGTAGCACCCGAAACCCATCCGTCTTGCCTCTAGGCACCTCCCTTGTGTCTGCCTTCATCCACCTTCCTCCACCTCCCTCCCTGCCAGCCTTCCTACCACCTGCCTGCCTGCGCGTGCCTCGCCACCCTTCTCCCGCATCAATGAAACAGCAATTTCAGCCGCACACGCCGCTGCTCGCGCGGTCCGACGGGCGCACTCTCCCCAGCTCGGGCTCTTCAGACGAGGAGCGGACGCCGCCGCGACGGCCATTGCCGCAGCGCAGAGCCGCATGGAGCTTGGCCGCTCTTCGCGGGCTACTACTAGGCGGAACCAGCGGCGGCGGCGGACAGTGGACCGATTCCCGTATAGCGGCGCCACTCACGGCGGCGATCACGGCGCTCTCGGCGCCACTCGCGGCGCTAGCGGCGCCAGTGACGGGGCCGCTGGTTGACAGGGTTCCAGGCGACGGCCCGGCGAGTGCAAACGAGGGGGCAGCAGCGCAATTAGTGGTAGGGTCTGCGGAGGCGGCGGCAACGGAAGGTTTGGGAGACGGGAACGACGGCACGGGAGGGGCTAGTAGCGCCCCGGCGGCGGTAGCGGGAGTGACGGTGCTGCTGCGGAGGCTGGGATCGGCCTGTATGATCATTCTCCTGCTGCTGATGCTACTGCTGCTGCCCCTGCTGCTGCAGCTTGGACCATCAACCAGCGACGGCAGCAGTACGGCTCTAGACATTCCTGGTACGTAGTGAGGCAGAGAGTAGCCCGTTTCAAGCCACTCCTTAACATGCTGCGTGCTTGTGAATCCGATTTGGGAGTAAGAAACGAGAACTGCTACGGCGTATTACGAGTGCGAACGCATCTGTGCCCCACAGCAACACTGTTAACAATGGCATTGCCAGTCACAACACCATGCGCCTCCAGTTTGTTGGTGGGGTAGAGAGTGTGCCGCTGTCGTGTTGCCCACTGATTACCTATCCTTCTTCACTCCCCCACCCCTCCCCCTCCGCCCCCCTCACCCGCCCCTCCTCTCCCACGGGAACCTCCGTGCCTCTCAAAACCACGCGCGACAGCTCTGACTCGCCTAGCAGGATCGCGCGACGTCGCGCACGACTGGACGACTCGCACGGCCGGTCGGCAGGCGTCGCACGGCGACGACGACGTGCTAGAACGAGACGACCCGGAGATTGTCGCTGCCGCGCTGTCGCACGCGTCAGTGCGCGCAGCGGATTCCGATGGACTTGCGGAGGAGGCGGCGGAAGAGCAGAGGGCGGCGGAGGAGGAGGCGGAAGATTACATGGTGGCGGAGGAGGAGGCGCGGCAGGGAGCGGCGGAAGTGCTGTCGGAAGCGGCAGTGGCAGAGGAGGGGGGAGCGGGGGAAGGGGAAGCTTGGGAGGCGGAAAATGAAGCTTGGCCAACGGAACCCTTTCCTGAAGGGGCGGTGAGTAGCGGCGGCGGAAGAAGTGGTAACGCGGAGGCATTGGCGGCGGCCGGGGAAGAATCTGCACAGACTGAGGCAGCGAAGGGTGCGGAAGATCAAGCACGGAAGGGTGCGCGGAGCAGCGTGGGCGCATCAGGGTGGGCGGCGCAGGACTTTCTGCGGGGAACTTCCGCAGCTGCTGCGGCTACAGGAGGGGGGCGCGCAGAAGGAAAATACGCGGAGTTGGGAACATGGGAAGGAGTTGGGGCAGCTGCAAAGGACGTCCAGTGGGAGGGGGAGGAGATTTTGGGCAGTAAGACGAGGGGAAGGGCGGGAAAATACGCTAGCGGAAGGTACGGCGGAAGCAGTAGCAGCGGCGACAGCAGCAGCAGCAGCAGCGGCAGCGGCGGCGGCGGCGGAGGCGGCGGGTTCGAGAGCGCGCTGCCGCGCAAGGCGCGGTTGGTGCTGCAGCGCATGCGGGCGGCGGGGCTGCCCGTTCCGCGCGACCCGTGGATGTGCGCGGATAGAGCGGCGGACGTAGAGGGGTACACGCGACCCACGGAGTGAGTGAGAGAGGCGGAATGAGCGCGAGAGAGGGTGAGAGGGAGAGGCTTTACAGTCGCACCCACTCTCATGGAGTGAGTGAGAAGCAGGAAGAAACCAGATCACACCCGTCCAACGCCCATCCCTTGTCTCCCCTTCCCCCTGTCCTCCCTCTACCCCTCTCCCAGGCGGCTGCGAGGCAGTCTGCTATACCGCGGCAGCACCATAGGCACGGGCGACTGTGTGATGCCGGTGCCATCACACATCCTCTCTTGCCCTCCCTCCCTTCCTTCCACCCTCTCCCCTTCCCCCAGGCGGCTGCGCGGCAGTCTGCTATACCGCGGCAGCACCATAGGCACGGACGACTGTCAGCTCTTCCTCGCTGCTGCCACCACGCCCTCTCCTTTCAACCACACCTTCGCCACCCTCCCACCACTCTCCCCGCTCTCCGCTCTCTCCCCCCTATCCCCCCTCGCCACTCTCTCAACCCCCTCCCCTTTCGACCCGCTCCCTTTCCTCCCTTCCTCCAATTTCTCCTCATCCTCCTCCTCCTCCCCACTCTCCTCCGCCTCCCCCTCCGCCTCCCGCCCAACTCCGAAACTCGCCTTTCTCTTCCTCTCCCGCGGCCCGCTCCCCCTGGCGCGCCTGTGGGCGCGCTTCTTCCGCGGATACGAGCGCCACTACTCCGCGTACCTGCACCCCGCGCCCGGATACAGGGTCCCGCGGGGGTTGCGCCGCGCGCTCAACCTCACCGTGGTGCCCAGCAAGCCCGCGTTCTGGGGGACGCTCAGCATCGTCGAAGCGATTAAGGTGGGGATGGGGGGGACGGTGAGGGACAGATTGATGTTGGCAGCATGAGCCTGCGGCTCAAACTCGCCGTCGTGCCCAGCAAGCCCGCGTTCTGGGGTTACGCTCAGCATCGTCGAAGCAATCAAGGTGGGGAGAGAGGCAGGGAGGGTTGGAAGAGGAAGGTGAGATGATGAGGGGGGAGGACGGAAGGGGAGGTGTGCTTATGTTTGTGGCCGCGCGCTCAACCTCACTGCCGTGCCCAGCAAGCCCGCGTATTGGGGAACTCTCAGCATCGTGGAGACTTTTGAGTCGACTCAAAAGCAACCTCACTGCCGTGCCCAGCAAGCCCGCGTATTGGGGGACTCTCAGCATCGTGGAAGCGATTAAGGTGGGGACGGGGGGGACGTTGAGGGACAAATTGATGCTGGCAGCAAGCCCGCGTTCAGGGGCATGAGCATGAGCATGAGCATGAGCATGAGCATGAGCCTCATTCTCACTGTCGTGCCCAGCAAGCCCGCGTTCTGGGGGAATCAGCATCGTGGACGCGATTAAGGTGGGGATGGGGGGGACGTTGAGGGATAAATTGATGCTGGTAGCATGAGCATGAGCGGCAATCTCACAGTAGTGCCAAGCAAGCCCGCGTATGGGCGTATGGGGGGACTCTCAGCATCGTGGAAGCAATCAAGGTGGGGGGGGAGGGTGGGGAGTGGGGGAGAGGGTTGGGGAAGGAAGGGAGAGAGTGCGAAAGGGGAGGGGGGGGGTGTGCTGCGAACATGCTTGTAGCTGAGCGCTGCGCCTCACCGTCGTGCCCAACAAGCCCGCGTTCTGGGGGACTCTCAGCATCGTGGAAGCAATCAAGGTGGGGGGCACTCTCAGCTTCCCCCTTCCCCCTTCCCCCTTCCCCCTTCCCCTTTCCCCCTTCCCCCTTCCCCCTTCCCCCCCTCCAGCGCCTGCTAGCCAACGCCCTCTTAGACCCTCACAACGTGCATTTCATCATCCTGAGCGAGCGAGACATCCCACTCTACCCCTTCCCTTCCCAACACGCACCAACACCCCCCTTTCCCCCTTTCACCCTCGCTCCCACATCCCTTTTTCCACACACCCAGCGCCTGCTAGCCAACGCCCTTCTCGACCCGCACAACGTGCGCTTCATCATCCTGAGCGAGCGGGACATCCCACTCTACCCCTTCCCAGTCATCCACCGCTACCTGCTCTCCTCCTCCCTCAGCTTCTCCGGCGGCCATCCCAAGCACTTCCGCAACACGCTCGTCGCAAGGCGCGTCTTCCCGCCCGGTCTTGTGCAGTCGGGATGGGTGCACGGGGAGTGCTGGCTCGAGATGGCTCGCCCGTGAGTGCCGGCTCGCATCTCTTTTCTGTTCGCCATTTCTGCTGATTATGCCACATGCACCCTTCACACTCCCGGTTCCTCCTTCACTCCCCCCCCCATTTCTCCGTAGAACGTTCTACCTTCCCACCCTTACTTCCACATGCTCCCCTCCTCGCCTTCCCATATTATCTGCCGGCCCCTCCTCCCTTCCCCCTCCTCCACCTTCCCTCTCCACTCTGGAAACACCCAACAGCTTTCTAAGCCAGCCCAATGCAACCCAATAACAGCAACCTTCCTGCACGCACGCCGTTTATTCCGCCCTACCACCCCATCCCCTTCTCCCTCTCCCCTCTCTCTTAACCCAGGCATGCGTGGGCAGTGGTGAGCGAGTGGAGGTGGCACGAGATGGGCCTGCAATACTGCAAAGCCATCTTCCAACCCACGTGCTGCGTTGACGAGAATCTTATGCAGACCCTCCTCACTCTGGCCTTCCCTCACCAAGTGGCTAATCGCACAGTCATGAGCGTGTTCTGGAAGCAAGCAACCGCGCACCCACACACGTACCTGCGACAGGACATAACTGCTGAGACGATTGGGGGGATCAAGGAGGAGAGGGAGTATAGATGGGGGGGAGGGAAAGGGGTTGGTGGGGCGGGAGGGCGGGGGAGAGAGGATGAAGCGTCGAGTGGAAGTGGATTAGCCACCAGCGGAAACAGCAGTGCCAACAGCAGCAGAAGCAGCAGAGACAGCAGCAGCAACAGCAGCAGAGACAGCAGCAGCAACAGCAGCAGAGACAGCGGCAGCATCAACAGCAGTGGTGGCCCTGGCAATAGCTCCCACAGCAGCGCTAGGCCGACCAGTGCGCCCTGCATGCTGAACGGACAACCCGCTCCCTGCTGGCTCTTTGCACGCAAGTTTGTGGGTCAGTCCCTGCCTCCTCTGCTAGCACTGCCTGATGAAGTCCTGGGGTATTGATGGGAAACGGGCTGCTGCCACCGCACTGGCTGGCACGCCGTGGGGTTAACGTATCAGCAACAGCATCTCCCTGGTTGCCAGGCCAAGGTTAACGCCTTGGGCATTGGGCATCCCTGCCCCAAAGCGACAGTACAGTAGATTAGACTACACCAGGTGACTTGGCTTTTTGTTGTGTCCTCTTGAATCCTGGTTCCAGATGAAGAGTGATAAAGAGGACGCGAACCCTTGCGCTGCAAGGCCTGCTTGCGGACAAGTTGCTGTAAGCGCCCCCTCCTCCCAAGACATTAGAGAATGAAAAGGGGACGGTTCCTCGTCTCTAGTGGACGTTTTTTTGCAAGGAGTCCGGAGGACATGTACAGTAGAGCACCATTGTTTGCATGCATCATAAAGGCTTAGTGCTGCGGTCCACACCAGAGGTACTAACAGAAGGAGGGTGTGCATGGTTCTACTATGATCAATATATAGTTCCAGCGAATAATGGTACCTTCTCTACACACAAGAACTCTAGAGTTTACATTACAGAATAGCTGTTCGAGTGTAGTTTCACTACACTCAATGAATGCCTTGGTGGTTTTAAATACAGGATTGAGAAACATAGGCCAGAATTTTTGCATATTGTAAGGGCCTTAGCAGCGAATACATAATATAGTTGCAATTAATCTAAGCATATACATTCTTGAAACAGTCCGTTCACTTTACCGGATCGTCGTTGCTTAGAACGGAGCACCCTTCCCTCCAACCGCAGCTTCCTCTTCCACACTTCCCTCGGGCTTCGATTGAGCAGACTCTCAATTGAGCCATCTTGGATGCCTTCGTTCGAGTACGGTTCATTACTCCTTTAGTTTTTTAAAGAGGTTTCACATACGGTTGAGAGGGATACATTCAGCCAAAAATGTTGTCCAAGCCGATGTGGTTCGAACCGAAGGAAATGACGAAGGGAGTAGAGAATGTCTGCTTGCCTGGTGCACGATCTTTCATTAAGGGCCGAGACGACACGCAAATACGACGGTTCCCTCTCTCCCTCCTCTCATCCCTCCCATTCCAAAGCAGCCGGAAGGTCCGCCCCACCTGACTTTCTTTGCCTGTCCCGTTTGCACAACTGAGCCACTCCGCTTGCGCCTTCGCACCGTCCGTTCCGTGCCTCGAAAGGCGGGTCCTGATTGGTTGGTCGTTTTGTCGCGCACCTAGCTACCGTCACCCCACAGTAGTATGACCATCTTATCTTTTGGTGCTCCGCGAAAGTTCACTGGCAAGTGTCTTGCGCGCAGCGCATTCCGTCACCGACGAGTAGAAGTATCCAGTTACATAGTACCCACCCACCCACACTTCGTTCCACAGCTGTACACGTGGCTGCGTAGTACTCGCGCGGCGCGGATGGCGACGGGTGAGGTGGAGAGAGCAAGAGAGGGTGACGACGGAGGACCGGTCGCGCCCTTGCCCCTTTGTCCTAGAGCGCTTCTCGTTCTTGTCCGAAAGTATAAAGGTCGTCGCGCAGAGCGCCACAACATCGTTCAGGAAGCAATTTCAGCCCCTAAGAGCAAAAGCGCGAAAGCCACCGTGTTTGTCCCAGTTGATCGAGTAGACGCGAGCAGAAACGAACCGAAACGAAGCGGGATTTGAGAAGCGAGAGCGAGAAATAATAGCTCCACGACACAACGAATAGATTCCACAGCTCGAGAGCCGCGGTAACCCTTGCTCAGTCACAGCACTGAGTATGCCGAAGGCGGCGGCGACGGCTGCGGCAGTGGGGACGCTGTTCGACCTTAACGCCAAGTACGAGCTTGGGGAAAAGCTTGGTCGCGGGCAGTACGGCGTGGTGTGGCGATGCACGGACCGCGCGACGGGGGAGGCCTTCGCGTGCAAGTACGTGGCGGGCGAGAGCGAGCACGCCATCCGCGGCGCGCAACGTGAGGTGAAATCGCTTCTCCGCCTGCGCGGCTCGCACCACGTCGTGGCGCTTCGCGACGTGTATAAAGACGAGCGGAACCAGTCGTTATACCTTGTAATAGAGCTGGGAAGTAACGGGGATCTTCTCTCCGCGATTGAGCGCAAGGGGCGGCTGTCGGAGGCCGACGCGCGGCGCGTGTTCCGCGACGTGGTTCTCGGGGTTAAGGAGTGCCACGAGCGCGGCGTGTTGCATCGCGATATTAAACCCGACAACGTCCTCCTGTTTCCTACTAGCACTACCGACACCAATAGTCGTCGCACCATGCCGCCTACTAATAATCCCCTGTTTAATCCCAGCGACTCATCGCCATCTCCCTTCGGCAGCAGCAACTTGCTGTTGAACGGCGCCGCGTCGAGCCGTATCAACAACAAGGGCTCGTTCCTCCACGATGATTCGCTCGTGCAGGATTACCATGGCGCTACGCGACTCGGCCAGAGAGGTCTCCTGCTTGGCGATTACTCGCGTGACGAGGCTGAAGCGGCGGCGGCGGCGGCGGCGGCGGCGGCGGCGGTTGCGGCAGCAGTAGCGGACGCGGGTGCGCTTTCCCCTCGGTCCCACTCTGCACCGTACTGGACCGCGCTTGCTGATGCGGGTGCTGATATATGTATCAGCAGCAACGGTGGCGGTGGCGGCGGCGGCAGCGGCGGCGGAAGAAGGTGGGAAATTAGCATGGCAGCAGCAGCAGGAGCAAAAGGAGCAGAAGGTGCGGGGAGCGTGGCGAAGCTTGTCGATCTTGGCATTTCCATCCGCCTCAAGCCCGGTCACTGCGTGCAGGGCTATGCGGGAAGCTTCCCGTACGAGGCTCCCGAGGTTGTGGCCGGAACGCCGTACGACTATAGCGCGGATATTTTCAGCCTGGGAGTCACTCTGTACGCGATGTTGTCCGGGAAGTGGCCATCCTACGCGAGTCGCATCCTGGAGGAAGGATCGTACGGCCCTAGTGAGAGGCGGCTGGACGATAAGCGGGACTGGAGCTCGCCTTGCTGGTGGTTCGCCTCGAAGCAAGCGAAAAAACTTATTCGTCGCATGATGGCGAGCGACCCGGATATGCGACCGACGGCAGAAGAAATACTCGCGGATCCGTGGCTGGACCCTCGTTCGCTCGTCAATACTAGACACGGAAGCAATGGCCCTTGCGGCGGTAGTGCTAGTGCGTGTTGCGGGTGCCCCTCCCCCTCCGCTTTGCGTAAAAGCCTTGCCCCTCGGCTGCTTCCGCGGCACCGCCACCGCTGCTGCTGCGGCAGGCATTTGTGGCAAAGCAGGTCCCCAAGCTGCTCGTGGCGGGTGCGGCCACAGGAGTGACGGGCACCCGTTATTGTAATTATCTTGCATTTTACAAAGCTATAAGGAGTGGTTTCGGAAATAATTTATTCTAAATATAGATATATCCTTAACATCGAGCTCCAAGGATGATCTTTTGGATCATAGGAAATAAACTTCCCATTGTGCCGCGTATATCCATTCCCAAAGAAAAAAAAAGTATTATTACATCAATAGCATCTCAAGCAGTGACAAAGACATCAGGATTCTTACATTGCTTTAATGATATTTCAATGTGTTTTTTTTTTAAACACCCTAAGCTTTCAACTTTTTTTTTTACAACCCCAAATTTTCGGTGTTCTTTATTCGCAACACTGATTTTTTCACAGTTTTCACAAACCCTAAGGCCCTCTTCAGAACCCGAATCCCACCTTTCCTAGCGCTCATCGCCCTCCACTTGCAAACTAGCGCCTGCGACTTCTCCCACACACAGTGCCGCTCTGTGGGCCATGTCTGCTTCTCAGTTACTTGATCTTTTACGAACTCCTCATGCTATATATGCTGTTGTTGACTTAAGTGCTTCTCACCCTGTTTAGCTTAGGTGCTAGTATTGATACTGTGCCATTTGCTAGTGTAGTTACTTGCTTAGGTACTAGTCTGAGAAGAAGTGAACGAGAGAATGGATGAACTATGAACGAGGTGAGTACAAATAGGAAACCCTAATTGGGTTGTACCCCCTATGGGATACCCCACTATAGCCTACACAAATAAGTAAGCTATAATGTTCTGACACACCCCCATAGGCAAAGTGGGGGAGAACAAGGGGTCACAAGACCAGTCAAGCAAAAACAAAGCAAAGCTCAGGGTGGATCACAAAGTCACCACACATTCCGAGCACAAGTTCAAAGGCCAGAAGGCCAGTTCACATGCAAGATCATATATGGAGATATACAAGAGGCAAGCAAGCAAGAGCAAGAGTATATATAGGTAAAAGTACAAGCAAGGTCAAGAAGAGAGCAAGTGAGGCAAGGCAGGCACAAGGCCCAGCTGCGTGCAACAGCGCTGATGATCACAAGGCGCAAGTGCCTTGGTGAAGACATCAGCAGTGTTGGCCTCAGAGGCCACGTACGCAAGTTGCAACTGTCCACGCTGCTGTAGCTCACGAGCAAGAAAGTAGCGGAGAGCAATGTGCTTTGTCCTGTGCTCCAGTCGCTGCTCTCGACACAAGGCCAGCATGGCCTTGTTGTCTACGTACAGCACTGGAGGAGAACGAGGCGGCTCTCCAAGGTCGGTCAGAAGGTAGGTGAGCCAGCGTAACTCCTGTGCAGCCATGGCCCCTGCGTAGATCTCAGCCTCACAACTGGAGCCGAGAACAGAAGACGAGCGGGTAGCCCGCCACGAAACAGAGCCGAAACCAAGACTGAAGGTGTAACCCTGTGACGACCGCTGCGTAGCCTGGTCGTCAGCCCAAGAAGCGTCTGCGTGCCCAGTGAGGACCACTGGACTGCGCCCTCCAAGCACTAGCCCCATGCCCGACGTACTGCACAAGTAGCGCAACACCCTCTTCGCTGCAGCCATGTGCTCTGGTCGGTGTCTCCCAGGAGCAACATAGCGTGCAAGAATGCTCAGAGGGTATGCAAGGTCAGGTCGTGTGCAGGTCATCAGGTACATGAGGCAGCCAACAAGCTCTGCATACGGGCCACTTGTGAAACAAGTGAACAGGAATGAAATGACTAAGTCAGAGTTGGGTACAAATACAACCCTAGAAAGCTGTACCCCATATGTGCTACCCCACTATAGCCTACAAACATGCATCAGCTATAATACTCTGACACACCCCC